TGCTCGTTCACGCCTTTGGATAACTGCCGCGCCGTTCGACCAATGTAGGTTGCGCCACAGGCGCACACGAATTGTTAACTTACTATTGAGTTGGTCAGCATCGGCATCTTGTCCTTATTTTGTGAACGAATGAGTGGTTCCGTTGAAAACACGCACTTCAACGAGGCGACTGGGAGGGTCGACTTTACCGCTTCCGAAAGACTTCTAGTTAGCCGCTCGGTATCCGCCTCCCCTTTGAATGGTAAGCGAATAAATAACTCTTTCTTTGGTGCTCTTAACACTGGCACTGGTCTGGGTTTTTCTTGGAAGTTCCTTAAGATAAATTTATCGGGATAACCGTTTTCACATAGAGTATTCTCTATGAACATTAACTCCGCGTCTAAGGTGTCTTCCTTACAGATTCCACGTGGTCTCGAGGTAAGACAGTGAACCAAATTGCGCTTATATCTCATAGGAACGAAACTGTGACAGTTCGTGTAATGACCTGTTCATGTTGTTTTTCTGTAGACCTGACGCTGGATGGACCCGTCTGGTCTCCTAGTTAACAAGACATCGAGATATGGTAGCTGATTCTCGCTTTCCTTCTCGTAAGTAAACTGCACTGCTACATGCTCTCGGTTGAATTGATCAAGAATTTCATCCAGATTAACGTGTTTATCCACCACAACAAATATGTCGTCCATGTATCGATGTTAGCGGTCAAAAAGGTCTCTGGTCGCCCGCATTTCGGTTCTCTCTAGCTTTGCCATGAAGATATCCGCTAATAGCGGTCCGAGGAGGGATCCCATGGCCACGTCGTCCTTCTGCCGGTAGTATTTCCCGTTAAATAGAAACTGCGCATTCCAGGTGCAGCGTAACAGTAGTCCTTTGAGCTCACGCGTAGGTATATACACTTTTATTCCTGACTCGGCTATATAGTCGCAAATGTAATCGATCGTCTCAACCAATGGGACGTTTGTATAAAGAGAGACAACATCGAAAGAGAGCATTACTTTCACATTGATATTATTATCCTTGATGATTTCGACTAAATGGAAGCTGTCACGAAGGCTGTAGGTAGCGAGCTGTTGTCGCACAGGTTCAAGAAGTTCTACAAGCCACTGAGCGATGGCATGTTACGGTGAATTGATAAAATAGGACGACGTGGGATGTTGGCTTTGTGGATTTTTGGTAATCCGTAAAGTATTGGGACGCTTGTGTCACTCGGTTTAAGACTGTCATACAGAGCATCTGAAATGTACCTCATTGGCCCGGAGTTCTTGCAAGCACCTAATTAGCTGTGTTTCAACTTGTTCAGTTCGGTCCCTTTCTCCTTCAATGCACGCAAACTTTGTCTCCTCGCTCAGTATTGCTGTTACTTTACCTATGTAATCTTTTCTATCGAGTAACACGGTTCCAACACCTTTGTCCCGTCTGCACAAGACGATTTCCTCATTGCGCTTCCTCCAACCCATCTAGGTGCGTTCTTGTTAGCGGGCCATGATTACGGACGCGGTGTTTGCGATACTGGTAGCAACAATTCACCAAGTAGCATTGTAACATTCAAGATCCGTGTTCGATTTAGTGACTAACCCTTTCGTCTGATCATATAAGCGTTCAAATTGTAACTCATATTCGAGCTGGTTATCCCTGCGTCTAGGAGCGCAAAAGTTTAAGCCAAGCGATAGAACTTCCATCAAAGTTGCGTCCATGTTCAAACTAGAAAAGTTGTGTGCATACCTGTCTGGCCTTTGTGAAAACGTGGCTTGGCGCTTAAGCTGGCTTAGCGACTTTGCTAAAGAAGACCGCCTCTGCTGTACACGGTTGCTAGTGATAGTGATGTCTTCGCATACTTATTCCTTTCCACTCTTCGGATACAAGACTGACCTCATTTGGGATACTCTGCTCCTATTTTTTCTATCAATTTGTGCGGTACGATATTCCTAGTTTATTAGTCATCCAGTTTTGATTGCTAACACGCTGTTTGAGATTCTGTCTTCTCTGAACAGCCATTCTACCGTCACCTTAACGCTCAGTGCATCACAGCGCTTTGTTGAGAAGACACCACAAAAACCGAGGTGGACGTACCGGTTGATGAAAAGTCGTAGTTATTGCACACAGTTGTACGACGTGGTGAAAAAATGACCATCCCGATAACTTTCTGTCGCCCATGGATCCAAACGGCCGAACGTATTTCGAGTCGTAATTTTACATCAACCTCATTAAGAACCGATATTCAACTGACATACACAGTGCAACCAACTCGCATCCTAGAAATCATTAGACTTCCGTATCCAAGTTTAAGTGAATTGGATTCGTTCTCAGTTTGAGGTGTACACAGGCACACACACAATCACGACACTACCTTACAGTCTGATACTTTGTCACTCGTGCCTGCCAATCGGATTGACTTTCTCACGTGAGGATCGATTCTGATGTACGCCCCGTTTTTTTGAACAGTGTGCGTCTAGTTGGCTCAAGCACTGTTGCTTCATTTGCGCTGAACTGTAGATTTGCTAAACAGTTGTTATGAAGTCTCACCACACCCTTGGACTTGTCCACCATAAAAAGCGTAACAGGAAGCCCCCGAGACATGTGGTCAATCTGTATCGTCTGCCTTCTCCTTCACAACTTGCACATGTAAGCAGTCTGTTTATACTGCATTTCAAAAGTTAGTTCATGAGCTCTATATGAAACAACCATCGTACTCATTTTACCACCCCGTTGTTTACGAGTAATGATAGTCCTTTATTTTTTGTTTTGTGCGTCTTTATTACCTCGTCCCTCTTTGTTCATGAGCTTTGACACAGTTGGTTAAGCGGACACTTGTTCCACGCATAATTCTGGACACACAACAAACACGATTTATTCATCTACCTGTATGTCCATTGTGCTATCACTGTGTGATAGCTACTATTCCAACTACTAAACCAAGTTGCTTCTGTACACTTATGTGGTTAGAAGTAATCTGACTTTCCGAGCCTGGAAGACGTTCCATCGTGCGGTGGTGCGTGTGCAGATCAGCTTTCGTTTGTCAAATTCTTGATAGATATCATCACATTTGATTTATCTTACGTCCCAGTCACCTGACATATGTGGCGTTCATTCACGCGGTGCTGCTCTCATTTTTCCGAACAACCATTCCGGTATTCTACACCGTGTACCGTATTTGAATCTGGCAATCTACCAGCGTGCGCTTGAATTACTAGCATAGTCATAATCAACAGTCGTCATTACACGTTTGCTGGGCCACGTGTTGTGCATGCCAGCCCACCGACTTCCACGACGTGCGTTGTTTGCTCACTGGGGATGTGGATGGAAGAAGAGGTGGGGTGGCCAAGCGATGACTTGGTCGAGAGGAATGAAGGCCCTCGCTTCGGAGCTGGTTTCGGTTGGAGCCTCACGGCTCCCTGGTTGGGGTCCAAAAGATGAAGTACACGTTTGGCTGGATACACTTGTTGATATGGCCAGGTGCCGACCTCAGTGGCGTTCGTGCTGTGAGTTTCTTTGTCCCTCCCCATCCCTTTTAGCCTCCCACTCCACCTACGATCTCATTTTGTAGCGTAAAACGTAATAATTTTTCTTTTTTTCCTAGTAGCGATTCCCTGAATTCGCTCCGCTGCCTTGCGGACAGTCTATTCAGCCAAAGGCTCGGGGTGGTGTCCCCTAAGTCAACACCCTACTTCGGCTTGGGCAACCGGGTAGTATTTCGCCCTCTGACGAAACCGTGGACATTGTTGTGTTGTGTTGTGTTTTCTTTTACTATTTCTGTACCTTGTTTTGAGTTCCATGGTTTCCGATGGTGCAATGTCTATTCATAGACTGTTGCATATATATATATATATATATATATATATATATATATATATATAGTAGCCGGCTGGTAGCTTACCGGAACGATGCCTATCCGTTACTGATAGCTCAGCTGGCATGCAACTGTCGTATTTATTTTCTTTTTCTTTTATGTATTGCGGCACAGTAGCTGAAGTGTTTCCCACCTCTAGCTGACGTGTATAATGATGACTGATAATGAGAGGCGAGAAGCATCTCCAGTATTTTGCCACAATGCAATACAATAACAGTCGTAAAAAGCAAAACAAAGCATAGACACAACAAGACGAATGATGCCATGCCTTGCTTCGTTATGCACTGGAAAAGAGATTGTGCTCGTAGTTTGTGGGGGGCGGGTGAATAAACGGAGAGGGACAAAGAAACTCACAACATAGACGCCACTGCAGTCGACTCTTGATCAGGTCAACAAGGGCATCGTCTTCCGGGCCCATTCGGATCCACGAACACCTGTCTTCGAATTTGAACGACAGCTATTGGTGAACTTACATAACTACGGACTATTTCCACTATCGAATATCCTCGGCCTTACGTTTATACTTTTATGAAATTCCCAGCGCCATTCTTTCCCGCACGCGAAGTGCCCGACACGGATTTGTTAGTTTATGAACTTCCTGCTGAACCTCCAATACTTATTAACAAGCAGACACGGAGGTCCTGTTAGAGGTGCATTGACAATACGTCTCAGTTTGTTCACGTGATGGCCCAACGCAGAGCTTTTCGCCTGGAGTACTAAGAGCTCGAAAAACCCCTTACACTTTTCTCAGAAGGAATAAAACTAGCAGCTAATCGATGCTATTCTCTAGCCTACAATCGAGCGCATTCCCAGCTATTAGTATACAGAAGAAATTGATTTTTCCGTGGTTGTGAAACTTGGGAATTTTTGTGTCCAACAGCTATCCTGTTTTGCTTCGACTTCAAACAGGTACACTATAAATATTGTCCGAATAGTCAGGTTCTTTGTTTCCCTTTTCTACCAGGATCTTCACATGTTTGATGCCTTTAGGGGTACATCATGACTGAACGAAAATGACGTTGAAATATCTCGATGCGAAGCATAAACCGGGTTGCATTTTGCATCGTACTTAACAAGTAACTTGTCATTTTTCCAAGTTTTCTGAGACAAGGGCGCAGTAATTTTTTCCCCTGTTCAACACACCTTTTCATTTCAGAATCCCCAGCTGCAGCAGGACATTGAACGCTACATGCGATTGAGTGATGGGGCCTCTCGGATTTTGTCGATTTCACAAAACCCGCTCCAATGTCTCAATGCAGCTAAAATGCTGTTTGTCAGCAACGCACAGCTATTATCTTGCCTAAGACAAGTGCAACAGGAGAAAGTACGGGATGCTTCGTCAACTGATTCAACGGACCCGGACTTCCCACATCATACTTCTACTGCTAAGCTTGAGGACAATGTTGCTGGAAATGGCCATCATATTTCCTCTGGACGAGCAAAAATTTGTCTCTCCGGTAAGGTGTGTGAGATTTTGTATAGGTCTACCGAACTCCTTTATTTGAACATGTCCCTCTCATGAGCGATACCTTCTCCTCGATTGCATCGGTCTTTTGTTGTCTTGGTGCTCATGTCTTCATCTTTATGAACCATTGTTTATGGACCGGAATGTTTGTTTATCACATACCGATGTGGACCAAATCTCGAGCATTCGTGGTAAGGTTTTTCCACACATCGTTATTCTCCCTATAATGTTCCGCGGCCAACTTTCAAATTCGTCTAGGCAACCTGCTATCGTTGCATCTCTTGTGTTTACTTCACCAATACCAAATTGACTATTGAACCTCAACCACGGCGTCTGATATAAATGATTACCCACTTCAGTGGAGCGGTCGATTCGAAGCCTTTCGTGCAACCCCCCGATATACGTGACAACACGGTCGATGTCCCGTACAAATCAATGAGGTGGTAGGCTGGGTGCCGACCTAGCGATAGAGTACACGGATCCTCTCCCACGCACAACGAATGCCACATCACACAGATTTTCTGGCAAACGAAATTCATCAGTCTATCCTCTGAATACCGAAGACCCAAAGGTGGCATGAACTTTTACCATACAACCTACTCGCACTCGGACCAGATTACACGCAAGTCTAAGCTGCTATGCGTGTGCAGTTGTACGCCAACTTTATGACAGCTCAAAGTACGATAATTTAAGTGGGATACAATCCACTGCGCAGAAGCGGGCAAGGCAAAGCGGCGGTCTTTGCAAAGCAAAACGGCACAGGCGGACATTAGATATCTCAAAACTACCATGACATAGAGAGAAGCTGACATCTCTAACGACACGATTACCACCACCGCTCACGTTACTCCAGCTTATGCTGCAGTGAACTCCACACACTCATTTGTTCTACCTGGCTCTCGGCTATCTGTGCTCACTCTCCTTCTCCACCCGCTCGCTTTAAATACTTCTATCGATACAGCTGCGCCGGTATCGCGTCTTAGCTGACCAAATTTAGGCAAACGGCATTGTTGTCAGAGGCACAGGGGATGTACAACCTTAACGCTCGCGCAAAAACAACAATGCCCATCACGGAATCTATCCTCAGTCACAAACATCCTAGTAGACTGGAAAGTGATTCGACGCCTATGGGATTTCATACCTTCCTTTCACAACTCATTCAGCGGCTAAATCGCATCGTACACTAGTACCCATAAGTCTGAATTTGGACTATCTAAGCGTCCTTGTCAGACGAGTCAATTAATATAATCCGGTTTTTGTGGATCCTCTTGTATCTGCGTGGCTCGGTTTTCCGAATCGACTCACAAGAACAAGTTTCGCATTAGAGGTGAAACTGCGTTTTCTCTGCCTACTTGCTCATAGAATTATTCAGAATGTGGTGCCATTGACTACAGAATAGTGTTGGATGTCACCCAGCCGCCGGTGGCCGAGTGGTCTACGCGCCTGGTTTGCAATCATGTCGCCGGTTCGAATCCGCTTAGGGGCGGGCGTCCTCGTGGTATACAACCCACCCGCGACTGGTGATGGCCGCGTGGCAGCGAAGTGCCGTTACGGCGTACAGCTGGAGATTTACTTTTTTACTTTACTTTACCCAGCCACAACACTACGTTCCACGACCGATTAGGTACTCGAGATGTATAGACTACGAAAATAGCCTTTTACTCATGCATTAGCAGGCAACGTTTGTCACAGCGGCTCATGGCTCATTGTGGGTTCATCTGGAGCTGGCACTCCCGCTTAGTTTAGGAGCTCCGTCAGTGGCGGAGGTCCGAAACGCGATCGCAGCCTTTAATCGTTTTCGTGTTGCTGGCCCGGATTCACTCACTCCCGCACTGTTTAAGGATGGATGTGAGGCCCTCTGCAAAACACTGACCTTGTTTCGAACAGGTCTGGAAAGAAGAGACCATCCCAGCTGACTGAAGTGCATCGATTATAGTAGCAATATACGGGAAGTGCAGTCACACATGTGTTGCTAAAACTACAGGAGTATTAGCCTAACGTCGGTGGTGACAAAATTACCGGCCTCAGTTCTCGTTCATCGCCTCATTGCGGAACGAAAATCCCGGATTGGCGAAGAGCAAGCAGGTTTATGCTCAGGACGTGGCTGAATGGACTTCATATTCACTCTGCGACAGTTGCTAGAGCAGCGCCACTTGTACCACAGATCGACAATACCTGTGTTCCTGGACTTCAAGAGTACGTTCGATTCACTTGATCTATGCATTCTGTTCTATCTACTTGTGTGAAGATATGTGAACATTTTACGTCCTCTGTACTCGAACACGACAGGCCGTGCCAAGGTCTACGATGACCCGTCGGATGGCTTTCCGATAACACGTGGCGTTTATCAGGATTGTCCACTTTCCTGATTTTTGTTCACTTTCGTCTTGGACCCCATCATGGAGTCTTCCCTTGCGAAATCTCACGATGCAGGCGTTGAGTTGCTGCCTAGTGGAAAGCTAGTTGACCTTGATTATACGGACGATATCGTCTTGCTGTTGGGGCGGCCTAATAAACCCTGGATAATCTCTCTAGAGTGATCCCATTATTTGGCCTGCGCTCCATACGTTCAAAGTGCAGTGTCGTTACAAGATCACCAGTCATTGTATAACCACTTGACTCTTGGTGGCGAGGAACTCGAGGTAGTTGATCGATTCACTTACCTTGGCAGTTGCATTAGCAACGATGGACCTATAGAAACTGAAGTCAGTTCACGTATTACAAAGCCAGAACTGTTTTTTATATCTGCGACATTTAACGGCAGAAGGGGTTTCCCTCCATTTGAAATACCGCGTTTACAAAGCCACCGTGTGGATCGCCCCACTCTGTACTTGAGACTTGGCCCTTTCGGTCTAATGATCTGAAGCACCTTCAAGTCTCTGATCATCACTTTTTGCAGAGCATTGCTGGTGTCGGTTCGCAGAAGCGTGTGTACGACAATGATGTGTCTGGGCGAGTACTGGGCATTGATAACCAAGCTAGTTCCTTCGGACAACAGATAGCACTGAATAAGTTGCGTTGCCTAGGACACGCACTACGGATGCCCGATCACCGTTTACCGAGGAGGGCCTTGTTTAGTCTGACAGATGTAGAGTGGCGCATGACTCCCGGTGGGCGAAAGTTGGCTTGGCAGCGGGAAATGAAGTCATTGCCAATCAAGCTTGGTCCCGTCGGTCCTTTCAGACTGAATTCCGCCTTGTGCTTGGCTCAAGACGTTACAGGACATGGCTGGCAGTCGACAGTAGTGGCGTGTCTGCTGTCGTCTTCTAATCGGATTGCCTGTTTATATTGTGTTGCTGATTTAGCTGCGGAGTAATGGCTATTATGGCATGAGGCGGTAAAAGCCTCACGGAAGCTGTCTTGCCGATGCCGCCTTTGCGCGATAACCAACTGTTTGTGACGCTGTGTTATTGACACACGATTCAGACGTCTTGACCCTGAGTATTTGTTTGGGGCATTAAGGTTTTACGCTAGGTTCCCCTTCTCTCCCTATTATTGTTCTTCGTTCCGTAGGTCACCGTGGTTGTATGGCAGCAAGGCATCACTTCATCTGGCTGATGCGCTACTTTTGTTGTATGGACTGGTGTATGGACTGTGACTCGCAGTCCCAGTCGCACTTCGACATTAATCCCGGTCCGAATTGAAATCACCTATCGGAGCCCATTCACGCACGGTTGATTCCGATGTACCCACAATAACCGACAGGAATATAACTTGTTATTGCTTCAAACATACGTACCACCATCCCAACAGTCTCTTATATTTTAAGCAGCACGTAACCTATTTGTCCTTTATGCTTTTAAGAATGTGCATCGCAATGGCTCATGTTGCAAACCGAATGTTCTATAGGGAGATGAGCATTACAGTTTAACTTCCTCCATTGAACCGTGCATTCATAATGCAGGTTACTGCTCGTTGAAGCGTCCATTGAACAAAGTGGAACTTCACTCTTCCAGTTATGACAACTTTGTTTCACTGTTGTGCACCTCATCTTTCAATCCGCCGCTGATAATGCTCTCCTGACGTCTTGGATCAATAAAACGACCAGCCCGGGCATCCATAAGGTTGGATTGTTCTCATCCTCTTCCGCGATTACACGGAATCAGGGTTCCACTGTCACTATATATGTCCTAATTCGCGATCGACTGTGATTTTAGCAAATGTGCACTTATTTTTGTCCTTGTAACTACTAATGCAAGCTCATCTTTTACATACCCGTATGCTTTTAAGCACGGGCCTTTGGAGGGTAAATGACGGGTGCTGTATTTTTGGTCATCTATTTGATATTACATCTACTGACCCAAGTCTTAGATTAAACGACTTCATTTGTTCCGGACTTCTGTGTTGACTGGTGGATGCGAAGATTCCCTGTCACTAGAGATACTCGTTTTTGTAGTTATGCAGAACTACACAGATTTGCACTGATCACTTTGTGCGCGCACTTTAACCGTCTTCCTATATTATTCTGAAACCCTCGACAGTACTTTGTCACTCGATTCCATGGTTATCTTCCCAGCCATTATTGCGTTCTATTTGTCCCTTACGTTGTACCTAATGGCAACCTGTTCGTCAACTCAGTTGTGCTGAGTAGGGACAATGGTTTCAATTCTCAAATCACTACGATATATATATATATATATATATATATATGGTTGGCGACATCCGGTTTCGGGTTTGCCTGTCACTGTGGCCAACCACAGGACGCCTGCACCTACGGAGGGACCATGGGTGGCTTGCGCTGCACCACCCACAGCTCCACCCACACACCCCATATCCAGTGTAAACCCGAAGGAATAAGACCGGGAGGCATGCGGATGGGAACCACGTTTCATCAACGGAGCCGGCCCACACTCCTTCACAGGCAAACACAAACACGCTGTATTGGGAATCAAGTGCACACAAGGCGGTGGCTGGACCGTAGTCCGCTCCACACTGAGTGCACGGAACCACTCTTCGAGCCAAACACGGCCACAAGGACCGTGCACCCCGTCC